AAGGGAAAACAGGCTAAAGTAACCAAAAACGAAGAGTTACCTAAAACCGAGGTGAATCCAGTCTTTGACGAAGCAGAAGAGAAAGAAGCCAAGTCTGAATAGTATCATATGCCACATCTTATCAGTGATCTGTCTCCCATCTTGTACAATCCAGAGGAGTATTTTTATCAGCTCTTTTGTAAATGCAACCGTGTTAGTAGCTCTAAAAACATTTTTAAGAAAGAAAGAATCCCACCTCATCCTATGTTTTAAGTTTAAATGCTTTTTTTTAAGACATGAAATCATTTGCTGGTTGTTTATTTTTTGGTACAATCAGATAATAGTATGGGATATTGAATTAAGAGAGGATTTGACTATCTTGGGTGTCAGCTTAACATTCTATAGATAGAGGTTTAGTTCTTATATTCTGTAATACAAAACATTCTGAGTGGCAATATGGACCGCAGTGCTACATTTAATGTCTTGAACATTTAAAATTCCCATTTTGTTTCTTTCTTTCTGTAGAATTGTTTCCTAAAGAAAACCACTCCTTGATTATGTCTCTACCTGTCAGAGTTATGTGCACTTTGTAACAACTTTGGTCATGATAGTCCTGTTTTCCCAATAAGTACATTAATATACTGTGAAAGATTGCAAAAATTAGTATGTTGTGTATATGATAAATTGTGAATTGGTGGTATGTATGTAACAGCTTATCAATATTTGAAGACACTGTGACTTGATATCCTTTTAAGAAAAAGTTGCTTTGAAATTTTAAGCTGGAAAGTCACTGGAATAACTTTTTTAGAATAATAATACATGGCTTTTTAGATTTTTGGTACATATGTTAAGAATTGTTTACAAATTGAAATGTCTGTGCACTGATTCTCAACAAACAATAAACTCTCAATTTTGAAAAAAAGAACATGTGCTTGTATGTGTGTACATGCATTCATGCACTCACATGATATATATTCTGTCAGGGCACACATTTTTACACACCACATATTTATACTCTCAAACACACACCTTGTATGAAGCAAAGAAGCAACATGTTCTTATACATTTCTGCATTACCCCCAGAGGACATGCAGAGGAAAAAGTGGACTCAGCAGAATGGCTCTACTAAACGGAGTGAACATTCAAGGAGCAGTCATATTTTTAATAGTAGAATATTTGAATTTTTGAAGATAGAATAAGATGCTACTGTATAAAGCTGAAATTGAATTAAAAATAAAATTTGGAAACTTGGAAATGCTATTTTCTATAGAAATCCAAAATGGTGTCAAAATTAATCTCGTGTTTAAAGCAATTAGTAACAAAACTTACACTGTGAAAATTGTAATCACTGCTAAGGAGTATAGACAAATAAATAAAACGGAAAAAATATAAACAGATTACTTTAAGAAGTGTAATGTATGGATATTATTTTCTTTTAAAAATAAATTCTTACAAATATTGAATTAACTATCAAGAAAATAATTATGACAAGTCACATTGTTTTGGTATGAGTCATTAAGACTGTATCTGAAGTTTCAGGGTAACTTCTTAAACTATATATACCTCAAGATTTGAATGTAAGTTCTAGATAGAGTATGTTCTGATTTCAAATTTTTTCATGCAATGCATTTTAGTTACATTGGTTAAATACAAATATTTTAAAACTACTCTGAAAAAATAAAATGTTGTTATAATGCATCCTTTCCACTTTTTTCCTAAGAACTCTTTGGCCACAGCACTCTCGGTTTTTGGATTTAAAGAAAAAGGAAGATGCTATCTTATAATCAGGGTTCATATTTATCTAGTTTAAAAAATAATAAAGACGACAACTTACAAGTACATAAATTCCATTCAGAGTTTTCCATTGGGTTGTGCTTGTGATTAGTAACAATGCATGAATAATGTTAAATAAAATCTCTTAATTGTTATTTGTCTGTTTTGATATTATATATTTTTTGTAATCACTGTGAGGAACTCTGAAAGCCTTCAGTGCTGTGTGATCAGATAGCACTAATGTTTGAGAAATTTCAATAAAATTGTTTAATCCAGCAACCAGCTTACATATAGTCACTGATAAAAAGGTGCAATATAATTAACATCCTTAAAGGATGTGAAGGATATCCTTTAACATCCTTAAAGATATGGTTGTTAAAAATTGTATTTCACTTATTTTATATAGAGCAGGAGATTGCTGGATTTGTACAGTTCTTTGCTCATGAGATTTTTTGGTTTTCTATATTTACTTGAACATGTACAAAAATAAGTCTCTTGGAGAATTATTTCTCTTGGAATAATGTAGATATTGCCAAGTTTTGAGCAGTCTCTTTAAAAGTGCTGTCAGAACAAATACATCAGGTCACACAGCAGGTGGTTTATCTCTGTGAATGTCTGAGCATTAAAATAGAGAAGGCTGCAGACTAGTAATTAAGTATTGATTGGTTTATCTAACACATTCTGCACATTTCTAAACAAATGCAGCATTGTTTCTGGCTCTCTTCTTCTAAAAATTGAAATTGGTCAGTGCATACATTTCAAAGATTACAAAACATGAAGGGCAGTTTTTTGTGTGTTTACAACTTATTCAGTGATCTCACTTGAACCCAGTCACCTTTGCAATATGATTCCATTTTTAGAAAATGTCACAAAGATCAACATAAGCCATTTTTACCTCCAATAAGTGCTTCTACTTTATATAATCAGAAATACATATTTTAAACATTGTTAGAGTAATGACTGTTCATTTAGAAACACAAGGCATCACAACAGCCTGTAGAGGTAAACATGGAAGTGAGAAATCACAAAGCAAATTGCTAAGGGTCATACCATTAATAAGTGCATCAAGGTAAATAGAAAAAAAGATTATAAATAAAATATTTTGAATAAGTGCCTAACTGAAGAGGTAAAAATGTGGAAAACAAATAATGAATTATAGAACAATAAATATGAATTATTTAAAATATTGAAAACTAAGATTTAAATAGATATTTCAGGATAGTATATAATATTCTAGAATTTAAATTTTTATTTTGCTCAACAGTGACCACAGTTTTACAGGATCAGGACTATAAAACCAGGGAAATGTAGAAAAATTTATATATTTTTCAAAAAAACATTAAAATATGTGTTTTTTAGAGGGTAGCAAAATGAGAAAAGAAATAAAGATATAAAAGACAAGAAAAAATAATTTATATGAATTTACACTATAGCATTTTCTATGTTAACGTGCTAAAAATCTTATGTTTATTTTTGCTTTATTGATAAAAGTTTCAAATTTTACAAAAAATAATAAATTATATTTTTAAATGGGCATAAAAACAATAAAGTTGGATCTAATGAATCTTAAAAATGAAGTAAAACTATAGTGTATCTTAAATATTGTTTAATAGCTAAAATGGAAAATATTTTTCAATACTATATCTGATCAAAATGTATTATGTCATATCTTAATTGCCCTTCAGAACATCATATTCCAAAGTGAAATAAGTTATTTGCCTTCTCTATGTCAGTTGGAGGCAAGACAAAGTTTAGAATTGAACTTAGGTACACTTGCTTTAGAACCACACTTTCAACAAATATGCTTAAGGATTTATACTGTTGAGCAGCAAATCAGATCTGATAAGTAAATGTGCTTAGAATGTAACCCATATTTACTTATTATAGAAGCTATTGATAAGCCAGAAACATTTTTACAACATGGTGCTAAATAATAGAGCCAAAATAATGACAGTATGTAGCATTTTGATATGTATATATTTTACATATTTCATATACATGTATATATTTTGATATCTTTTTTTAAAGCATATTTTATGACAAAAAAAATTGGGGTCTTCTGCGGAGACGATAATGATGTGTGTCTGTGTGTGTGTCTGTATGCCTGTGTGTGTAAAAGAGAGAGAAAAGAGATATACATGTAATGTGAGGGGCTTGGACAGTTTGCTTAGCATTTATTTTAAAAATTACCAATATAAATTTGTTTTTCAGTAATTGATTTCTCTACGCATTTTTGTTGTACACATTTGTTTTATAACATATTTTCCAGTAAAATGTATACTTTTTCTTTTAGAATGAAATACAGAAACTGTGTAAATGTACTTAATGTAATACAAACCTGAAAAGTTAATTCTGTTCAGTGGCTTCATCCAATGTATTACAGTGCTTTATATTTTTACTACTGTTTTGTGATCCCAATGAAAGTGAGATACAAATATGTAGAAGTTTGCCAAGGTAGTCATACAGTTTAATATAAGGAAAGAGAAAATACATTTTTTAAACTTCTAGCTGTAGCAATCTTATTTAGGGCTGTTCAAAAAATGTAATGAAAATAATAATATTATTTATCCCTCTTTTTTTTTAAATCCCTCTTTTTTCCATGGTTGAAACAATGAACAAATAGCTACTTCTACATATTGTCACAATGACTACTCACTGGTCGATTTTTATGTATAAGACAGATGATTCTTTCACTTTGCATGAGTGCCCAAAACAAGCTGTTTCTATTTCTCTCACTCTCTTTATATATAAATATGAACTATATTTTTATATGATGACATTTATATATCACATTTATATGATATATGTGAAATATATACATGAACTGTGTATGAAATATATGAGATGCATGAAATATATATATACACACAATAACTATTAAGAAAACAAAATTGTGTGCTATTTCACCTCTGCCAGCTAAAATTGTATGATGGTCAGTTGATAAAAAAGTAGGAAAAAAAATTGTATATGTCTGTCTAAATGAAGAATGCTCATTTCACACGATTTAAAATCTAATAAAAATTTTAAAAATTATTTCACCAAGAAAAATGTTAGCTGATAGTGCTATAATTACTCGCTTATGTTTTTTTAATATCCTCTATTTCATGACTAAGATTATAAGGCCCCCATCAGAGCAGTCAATTACTTTTTTAAATACTCATTTAACTAACTTATTGATTGAGTCATTACTAAAATTCATTCTTTCTTCTAGAGTCTTGAGATACATCAATGAAGAAAACAGATAAAACATGTTTAACATTGTGGAGCTTATGGCCAGTTCAGATGTTCTTAGAATGGAATCTTGGATTAAGCTTTTGAAAATTCATAACTATGAAATAGATCTTGTAAAAATATAGAAATTGTTAATTCAATAATATATGCTATAGTTTCTTCTGAGATCTAAAGTGCCTGATATCATAGACTATTGTAAGAATGAAAATAATTGTCTCATTTACTTGTAATTTCTATACACATTTGTTTCCTTAAAGTCAGAGGCATGATGGAATTGAGCATTGTTTTTTAGATCCTATTTACCAGTTACATTGCCTTTATTGATAACATGTAAAAATGAGAAGAAACAAAGGAAAGTTTCACAGAAGAAATAAAAAAAGATGCCACTTCTTGGCGCTATAATAAAAATAATGATCAACTCCTTAATCAGCTTCTCATTTTTATTGTTATTTTAAGAAGTAAAAATTAGGGACAATATATAAAGTGACATACTCTAAATGCAGTGTCCATTTCTTAAAAATAAAATACAGATGAAAGTCTACAAAACTGAGCCCCTGACCTAGCCTCACATCATCTTATTTTAATTTTGCTGTGTCTGCCCATCTTTAAGTACTTTGAGCAGAATACTCCCCGTACACATTATATTTCATGTAGAATGTCTGGAACATTCTGCTCCTTTTGCTTTCCTGCTCGATTCTTGCTTTTCTCCTCTAGGAGTCTAGGTAATTCATTCTTAGACTTAACTACACATAAAACCTGTCTGGATGGCATGTTAAGACACAGGTTGCTTGATCTTTTGCCCATAGTTACTGATTTATTAACACTGGGGTGATGCTCTACAACTTACATTTCTTACAAGTTCCCAGGAACTGCCCAGAGAACCACATTTTGAGAACCTCTCTTTAGGTTTCAGCTTAAATATGACTTTCTCACATAGTTTTTCTCTAGCTTCTTAGAGTAGTTTTAAAACACTCTGCTCTGTATTTCTACATACATGTTTCTCATGTTTCCTTTTTCATAATATTGATCAGATTTGTTTCCAATATGTCATCTTTAAATTCTTGAGGATGCTATGATTCTGCCTATTAATTACCACCAATGTAGGAATACACTGCTCAATAAATAAATGTATACAATCTGTGTTGGATACTTCTTGATATGAAATTAAAAGTAGAATTTAATCTGTGGTATTTCTAAAGCATTAATTCCTTAGTAAAAGTAAATGTATAATTTAAAAATTGTTCACCATAAGTATGAACGGTATGCAATTTAACAATTTCATTGAATAGCATCCCACATAGGATCTTTATTTTGAGGTAAAACTCACACATACAAGCATGCATATATATAAATTAAATTTTAAAAATTGCATATATAGTATATGTAGTAAGTTATATTGTACACATTGTAGTTGAATTGTTACAGTAAATTATGTAGATTGGAATTATATTTTTGTATCAGTACAAAGTAATAATTATTACAAAGTAGTAACTTTATAATTATTGGTTATGTTTAGTTTTTATATGCATGCAATTTTGCCAATTTGCCTTTTTTATTACAGTATTTATTCTAAATTTCAAATAAAATAAAGGCCAGTGGTATAATAGAAAATAATCTATAGGAGTTTGTTAGTAATTAAAATGGGGAATTAAATTAATTTAATATTTTTAAACATTAAAATTTAATTTAAAAATTAAAATGTAAAAGTTGAAAATTATCACTTGCTTCTTTTACTCCAGTTTATCCTTTAAAGTGCTGTGAGATTAATCTCCAAAAGTTTTATGAATAAGTCATTCATTCATTAAAAACTCATTGATCAAATTAATATAAACTTTTAAACAGCTATTTATAGAGCATAATAATTTTCTTCAGCATATTTTAAAGTATTTTCTCTTATATATTCCCATTTATGATTCTAGATAACAATGAAATTCTGTAATACTTGCCATATACTAGAAATAAATGTCACTTCTCATTTGCATCTTATGTCTTTACTTTCAACTCCCTAGATTACTTTCTGCATGCTGTAGCAACTGGTAATAACCTCTTATCAAGGCACGAGACAAATAACAAATTTTGATTATATTTTTTATTATTTTTTCCTTAATGTCAGAAGCTAGCAACACTCCTAGTGCTTTGAGAAGCTTTTTTTCTGGTATTTTAATTACTTACATTCATACCTACTGTCTCCTTTAGATTGTAATTTCCATGAACATTTAAAAAAATTAAAGACATATAAATGCTTAATAAAAATTCATTTAAACAATAAATGTTGAAATGCTTAATAAAAATTCATTTAAACAATATATGTTGAAATGCTTAATAAAAATTCATTTAAACAATAAATGTTAAGTAATCCTAGCTAAAATCTATGAAGATCTGAAGAACCTACTCACTTAATATATATAACAATACTTTGATATGAGTGTTTTGAGTTCATGTTATAAATGTGTATAGAAATTAATACAATAAAACTTTTGATTAAACACCAGAAAAACAAAATTTTGTTAAATCGTATTTTGACAGAACATTTTTAATAAAAATATGAAAGTATTAGATAAGAATTATAAAAATTGCATAATTATATACATATGCAAACATCACTTCCAATTTTAAAAAATTAGATATACAAGAATATGAGTACTTTGTTTTTGTAAAATATTAAATATTGGGAAAAGAAAGATTATTTCTTTTCCATATCTTCCATATTATGCCAAATCTCATATCTGAAGTTTAGTCTTTATAAATAAGTTTGTATTGGTTCAATTTTGTTTGTGAAATGGCTAATTTTATAAAGATTGATTACTTGTCAAATGTTGCAAGATGCTGTAAGAATGTAAAAGTTGTTGATAATATTCTGAGTAAACTTTAAATGTAAAAATATGTTTATTTTAATAGTCATATTTTTAGTTGAACATATTATTTTAATAATCATATTTTAGTTGAAGTCATGCTATTTAGACAATTCACATAAAGATTGGGTAACAATCAAACACTGATTTTTTATTTCTAATTTTTTCATGACACTTCTTTAAATAATACAAAATTTGTAGGTATTTTGTGATTTGTTCACACTTTTAATCATTCACTTGAATTACTGCTATTTTGCTATTTTAAGAAACACTTATTTAATAGATATTCTCAACACATCAGTTTATAAATTACTTTATTTTTGATAATTTTATAGAAGAACATAACCAAAAATTGTGAAGTATTATTTTACCATTTGGTGGTCCATATGTATATTTATAAAGCAAATTTGTTAATATTTCTTCTCTTGAAGAATGACATTTTACATATTGGCAATAAAATATATTTTCTTGTTCAAGCAAGTGTTTATTTCAAATACCTAACTACAAAACTAACAGGAAACCTTCACATATGTGTATCTGGGAAAGGTTGCATTTACGACTTGAATTAGATAAGAGCTATTCTATATATATTTTTTAAATGTGAGGATTTAGAGATTTATTTTTCTTTTCTATAATTCTTCAGCTGCAGAACTTTTTGATCCAAATATGTTATTTTTTGGAAATTCCAGAAGTATTAAGATTCCTTAGACTAAACTGAATTATCAGTAATCATCTCAGCTGTCAATGACCTATAAATAACATTTTTACCTAATTAAATAGCTTGTTTCTTTCAAATGTTTTTGAAAGAAATAGTGCATTGTGCATAATTAGAAGAGACATCAAAGTTGGAGTCATTGGCTCATTAATTTAATGAAGCTAGCCTATGGCATTTATGTTACTCAGTGGTAATATTTTATTTGCAATTAACAATGCTATATATTAGTTGTTGATTCTTAATAAACAACATCGAAATTAAGGATAGCATAATTTTCAGAGAAAATTTTAAATTCATCTGTCTGACATATGCCCAGGTCAGTTGTTTCTGTTACTAGAGTATGGAAAGCATGGAATGTTGTTTTGGACCGGTTACTTGGAATCACACACCAGCTATCCATTCATAATACTTCATCTCTGTCACAGAGGTGAACAAGAGCCATTTCCTTGGCAATGAAATTGGGTCAAGGTGTAAGCATGTGACATGATCTAGGCCCATTTGTGCTCTTTCTTAGGAATTTTCAAATTGTTTAAAGAATTAAGTAGCTTATTTTCCTCTTTGATCATAGAATTATAAGACTGTAAACATGGATAAACAGACTGCCATGTATTGAACTGTTCTTAAATCATAAAGTCATTGAAAAAAGATAAATTATAAAAACTATTAAAATATAAAAATGGTATCTGTACAATACATCTAGAGTAAATGAAAATTGGACTGTCACACATTTAAAAAGTTTCTCGACTCGAATGAGTTTAACTAGAAATAATTACATTAAAATATAAATTTGAGCCTTAAATGTGAACATTTCAAATACTTGCAGAAATAACATATGAAGAGAGCATGATTTCTAGACTAAACAAACATGCAAATCATTAACTATCAATATATTCCAAAGTATTTCTTATTAACATAGCACAATATGCTTGTAAAATTATTTCTCCTAACATATGATAAGCAAAATAATAGAAAATCTCAAGTTTTTATTTTATGCAGTACACAATTTACAAAGTATGTGACTGCTGTTGAGTTTCTTAACTACTCTAAGTCTCACTTCCTATAGAAATTATAATGGTATTAAAACAGTATCTCCCTGAGAAGGTTGTACAAAGGTTCCATTTGGGAATGTGTGAAAACCTTTAGACATAATTTCTGTTACAAAATAAATTGTTTATTAAATGCTATTTCCTATTATCAGTGTTATATAGATACTTATATTCAATGAAATTTTATAATATTTGAAGATTTCCTGAAGATTTGTTTTTACGTATTCAGGAATGAATATAATTCTATATTAATAACAAAATTAAATAAATACGTGAATAATTATAACACTAAAGAATGTTAAATTGATAAGTATTCTCAGTAAAATTCAGAGTTTGGAATAGGCTTAAGTTCCTTTTGAAACTTTAACATTCATTCTATCATCCTTTATAATAAGTACCAAAGCAAAAATTGCACTGGAAAAGTTAAACAGGCTAGGAAGATGTTATCCAAGGCTATTATAATAGTAAAGCAAAGTCCAAGAATATTATCTGAACTACAGTCCACTGAAACAACTGGCAGGGAGGTTTTGAAGAGCTGGAGCAAGCGAGGTTTATTTGTTGATAGGCCTAACCCGAAAGGAAAAGTAAATTTGTTTATATCTTATGACAAGTGGAAATTTTACTATATAGAGTGAGGTACACACCTAAGTTGAGCTCCTGTTGCCCTAAAGAAACTTGAGAGATAAGGGTGTTATCTTTCTTTACTTTTATTTTAAAGATGTGGGGTACAATTCAGGGTTAGGTACATAAGTGGTCAATGTATAGGTAAAGTTTGGGTCTCCCCTTGGTCCTCACTTCACCTCGTTTGAGATTGATGTTATGATAATATGATATTGATATTATGTGCCCACCCGTGGCAGTGTCCCACAACAACCAATCCCTTTCTTATACTATTATGATAAATGGTCAGGGTCCACTTATGAGTGAGTACATTTAGTACTCAGGTATTCATTTATGTGATAGATCACTGAGTAATATAGACTCTAAATCCATTCAAGTTGCTGTGAAGTCCATAATTTTGTTTTGTTTTATGACTGTATAATATTCCATTGTGTATATGTACCACATTTTCTTTATCCAGTCCACTTTCAATGGGCAGCACAATTGGTTCCATGTTTTTGCTATTGTGAATAATGCTGCAGTAAATATGTGTGTGAAGATATCTTTTTTTTTTTTTTTTTTTTGAGTTGGAGCCTCACTCTGTCGCCCAGACTGGAGTGCAGTGGCCCCTCCTGGCCACCGCAGCCTCGCCTTCTGGGCTCCGGCGATCCTTCCACCTCAGCCTTCCCAGTAGCTGGAATTACAGGCACGCGCTACCACACCCGGTTGATTTTTTCATTTATTGTAGAGATGAGGTCTCGCTGCCCAGGCGGGTCTCGAACCCGTGGGCTCAGGCAATCCACTCACCTCAGCCTCCCAAGGCACGGGATTACAGGCTGAGCCACCAAGCCTGGCTAAGATATCTTTTTAATAGAGTAATTTCTGTCCCTCTGGATATATTCCCAGAAGGAGGATTGCTGGGTCATCTGGAAGGTCAATATTTAGATCTTTTAGAAATCACCACACTGTTTTCCAAAGAGTTTAAGATAGACAAGTGGGACCTCATCAAACTGAAAAGTTTCTGCAAAACAAAACAAATCATCAAGAGAGCAGGGAGACAGTACATTGAATGGGGGGAAAATTTGCCAACTGTATATCTGACAAAGGCCTAACATCCAGGATCTACCAAGATATTAAAAGTGCCAAAAAAAAAAAAACTGTATTAAAAGCGAGCAAATGAGCCAGGCTCAGTGGCTCAGCCTGTAATCCCGCGCCTTTGGGAGGCTGAGGTGAGTGGACTGCCTGAGCCCGCGGGTTCGAGACCCACCTGGGCAACTTGGTGAGACCTCATCTCTACAATAAATAAAAAAATTAGCCAGGTGTGGTAGCGCGCCCCTGTAGTTCCAGCTACTTGGAAGGCTGAGGTGGAAGGATCGCTGGAGTCCAGCAAATTGAGGCTGCAGTAGCCGGGAGCGGTCACTGCATTCCAGTCTGGGTGACAGAGTGAGACTCCAACTCAAAAAAAAAATAATAATAATAAATAAATAAATAAAAGTGGGCAAATGATATGAATAAAAGAAAAAAAAGACATAAAAGCATCCAACAGGTACATGAAAAAATGCTCAGCCTCACTAATCATCAAAGAAATGCAAATTAATCACACTGAGATACCATCTAACTCTAGGCAGGATGGCCATCATCAATAACTCAAAAACAACAGATGCCGATGAGGAGACAGAAAAAGGGAATGCTTCTACACTGTTGGTGGGAGGGTAAACTTGTACAAATTCTGTTATCTTTCTTGATAAATGCATTTCAAAGGAATGACTGGGGGGGGTTTAAGAAAGACACTTCTGTGATGTAAAACTATCTGGGCAAGACACTTTTAAAAAATAATTTACATACATCTCAAAGGAAAAGAAAAATAATTTACAATGACAAGTTTTCTAAAGTCAAGAGTTTAAGAAAAAGAAGGGAAAGGACCTTTGTGGTTAGGCCATTTGTAGGTTATAAAGGGGCAGGGTGAAAGAAAGACTAAGGGCCTAGATGCATCAAGAAGCCTGTCTAAAGTTTATTCAAGTTGAAGAAAAATGTTAAGGTTCAATTAGCTACTTCTTAGAATTAATTTAAAATCCATGGATATGTTTATTTTAGTATTCTGGTATCTTATATCATGAATAAAATAATTAGAAAATAACCTTAAGAAACACAAATTTAAAATGACATCAAATATTTTAAAGATTTTTGTATGCTAAAGCAATTGAACTAATGCTACAGCTATCACATGCATAAAACATTATATAGTTATGGTTTTATACTTATGGTTTTATCATCTGCATTAAAAATGTGGAGAATGTTTTGTTTTGAACTTGCTCAACAGTAAGAAACTTTTCGCATATTTTATTGCAATTACCTAAGGTAGTTAATGTGGAATATGAACGGCTGGGACTTCCATTATTAGTGGACAATGCTAAAGAAGCCAGGGACAAATAACCAATATTAAGGTCTAGACCTATATAGCCTGCAATTAAGAACTTAACATAATTATCATCATTACAGACATTTCCATGAAGTAACTGAGCAAGATAAAGAAGATGCAAATAAGTTATTACTAGATAAATATATAAAGTCTTCAATATTTGGCTAATAGACTCTCTTGCCTCTGATTGTATCATGCCCCTTCTCCTGTCACTTTTTCTTCTGTGTAAGTGTGCTTATGTGTGCATATGTGTGTGAATTGTAATTCTGCAGCACTCCCGTTACTCATTTTATGATTCTTAAAAGAGATCTCAAGAAAATGCATAAGGATCACTTGTGAAGGCTTTCTTTTTCCCCAAGTGACAGTTGTTTCCATAATGGGCACTGTGGAATGTTTCTCAAGTCAGTCAGGCTGGTGAAATGATATCTGGGGAACACCGGAGTAGTTTGTTAATTGATAATCAAGATGCTACTTAGGATGCTTCTTTTTGCATATCAACACAATCACATGATATTATCTTCAAGAATATGAAGGGCACAATACTATGACTTTTTTGATAAATAATACTTTTTTAAATTAGAAACACAAATCTTAGAAAGTATCTTAGAAATTATAAATACATTGAAGCCAAGTATAAAGGTAGAGATTAAGGTCTAAATTCAGGAGGTAAAGTGATTTAGCATTAACAAATTCTATCTAAAAGTCACTTAAGTCAACCAAAAAGAACCCTATTAACTAGGTTCAACACCATTTTTCTTTCATCATTGAAACAGATTGACATTTTTTAAAGTAATTAAATTAAAATTAGCAGTCAAGTGATATGAGAAATCTGTACTGTACATTTGAACATGAAGTATACACTACCTGAGATGCTCAAACCATTACAGGACTTTCAGGAATTGAATTTAATAAATGGAGAAATTTTCCATTTTCCACCTCAAGTTGACTCACCTGCATACACCATCATGGGCACTCTGTTTAAATATCTGTCTCTTTATTCACTTTGTTTAGACATATCTCTCTCTTAATCAATCTTTCTCTCCCAAACATACAATTGTCTAAGTTAAACTCACTATATTCAGCTGTGATAAATTTCTTGGTAAAGACTCTGTTTTCTATCTAATCTTAACTACGCTTTCATATATATAATATTCATATATTCTAATTTGCTGAAGTAAAATTTAAAATATAGTAGGTATACAGATGTTTTTGATTAAGATAAAAGTTTTTCTTATTTAATATAGAATATTATATATATCATTTTAAAGTACAGTATCATGATAGTAATATGTTAGAAGACTTATTAAATACCAAATAATTTATCAATATACAAAATAATTACTTTAATGAAAGACAAGCAAAAAAGAAAATTCTTGTAAGTTGCCAAAATTTTTCTTATGGTTAGAGAGATAAATTCCTTGTACTATTTACTATAAACCCACTTTCCTCCATTTGAAAAAGAAATTAACATAAATAATGATGAGTGACAGATGATGTAATTCCCTTGGAAAATATAGTTGCCTTTCCAAATAATTTTAGTAAAAATAAATTCCTTGAAAAATTTTTTTGCTCAACGTATATAAAAATCATGATAGTAAAATGAGTGAGTTCAAACTAAATTTCTATTAAGCTGATTATATGTCTTCATTTGTTCATTTATCTAAAATTACAAAAGCTTTTGAACTTCTGTTTGCATGATGTAATATGATTGATGTTGAGGTAGAGTACTGAAAAAATATAGACATTAAATAATTTTGTCCTTCATAAAATTCAGTTGCCTTTAGATACATTTAAATCGACAGATAACAGTCTCACAGATCCAAATGTAGACATGTCTACATTGATTAAAGCTCCAAAAATTGAAAAAAGTATTGAGAAATAAAAAAAGAAAAAGGAACAGTGAGGCTGTTTCTAAATTTACAATCAAAATTTAACACACCTAGCAGAGCCACGGTCCGGATGGCAGCGCGTGCCCAGAGCCCTCCGCCTCCCCGCGCTGCCAGCCAGAGGCAGCCCGAACCCTGCCCGCGGCCTCAACCGCAGCACTGAGAGCAGCCCCAGGAGCGGGGCGCCACTGCCGGGTGGAACGCCCACGTGGACAACCTCATGGCCCACAGGACCTGTCAGGACACGACCATCGTGGGCTACAAGCACTTGTCCTCCGTCTGGGCCACCATCCTCGGAAAAATATGTTGATTTTTTTTTTTCTTTTCTCAGAGGAATAGTGCAGTTAAAATGGAATGTGGATGTATTTTCAGTATGAGCAAAGACCGGTCAAGTTTCTTCGTGAATGGGCTGACACTTGGGGGCCAGAAATGTTCTGTGATCCAGGACTCACTGCTGCAGGGTGGGGAATTTACCATGGATCTTCATACCAAGAGCACTGATGGAGCCCCCACCTTCAATGTCACTGTCACCACGACTGTCAAGACGCTAGTCCTGCTGATGGGCAAAGAAGGTGTCCATGGCGGTTTGATCAACAAGAAATGTTATGAAATGTCCTCCCACCTGCGGCGTTCCCAGTGACCTCGTCTGGCCCTTTCCCACCACTTCCACAGCTTTTGCACCCCTTCCCATACACACATACACCATTTTTATTTTGGAGGCCATTACCCCACACTCCCTATGGCTGGCTGGACAGACACCTTCCCCTACCCATATCCTTCCACCTTCCCCTAGAAGGATTAGAACGGATCATACAAATTAGAACGGGTCATACAAATAAGGGGGTTTGATATTGTGACATAGCGGGAGGTTTTATGTTGATGATAGTTGTAATAAAATTAATAGCACCTAGAATAGAAGATACTCCTGCTAGGTGGAGGGAGAAGATAGTAAGGTCTACAGAGGCTCCTGCATGAGCTAGATTTCCTGCTAAAGGGGGGTAGACAGTTCAACCAGTTCCTGCTCCAGCTTCAACTATTAAGGAGGCTAGGAGTAGAAGGAAGGATGGTGGTAATAATCAGAAACTTATGTTGTTTATTCGAGGGAATGCTATGTCGGGGGCTCCAATTATAAGAGGAACTAGTCAGTTACCAAAGGCCCCAATTATAATGGGTATTACTATAAAGAAAACTATTACAAAGGCATGGGCAGTGACGATTACATTACAGATGTGGCCATCCCACAATAGGGTTCCTGGTTGTCCGAGTTCTGCTCGGATGAGAAGACTGAAGGCAGTTCCTGCTATCCAAGCTCAGGCACCAAATAATAAATATAAAGTTTCAATATCTTTATGGTTGGTTGAGAATAATCAACGGTTAATGAACATAAGCAGGGGTAAAATGGCTGAGAAAGCATTAGGTTGTAAATCTAAAGATAGGGGTGGAGCCCCCTTTTTACCAAGTCCTGAGGTGAATATCACATTGAATTGCAAATTCAAAGGAGCAGCTTCAATTCTGCCAGGACTTCTCCCGCCTTTTTTTTCTTGGCGGTGGGAGAAGTAGATTGAAGCCAGTTGGATAGAGTATTTAGCTGTTAACTAAATTTTCGTGGAATTGGAGCCCACCAATCTAGTGGGAAGGACTTAGCTTAAATTAAAGTGACTGATTTGCATTTAGTTGATGTAGAGTGAGCCTCTGCAGTCCTTAGGGAGAGAAGTACAGGAATTAAGCATTTTAGCTTACCTAGGGCTTTGAAGGCTCTTGGTCTGATTAACCTAAATTCCTAGTCCAGTGGTAAGAGTGTGGGTGGTAGGGGTAAAAGTAGGGTAGATAAAATTGTTAAGGGGGGTATAATGAGTATTAGCTTTGTATTTTCGAATTGTCATTTTATTTTTGTATTATTGTTGTTTGGGAACATAGTTAGGGTTGTTGAGTAGATTAGTCGTATATAAAAGTATAGGTTGAGTAAGGCTGTAATGGCTATTAATATTGGGATGAGAATGCTGTCATTTTTTATGAATTCTTGAATGATTGTTTATTTGGGAAGAAAACCTGTAAGTGGGGGTAATCCTCCTAATGATAGTAGGACTAGGAGTATTATGGATGATGCTAATGGGGTTTTATTTCATGAGTTGGATTTTGTTAGAATGGTAGTACTTGAAAAGAGAAATAATATAGAGAATAGTGTAATTGCTAAAGTGATATAGATGAGGAGAATAAGGGTTATGATGGTAGGGTTATATTTTAAGATTGTGATTATTCATTCTATATGGGCAATGGAAGAGTAGGCTAGAATTTTTCGGAGTTGTGTTTGATTTAGTCCTCCTCATCTGCCTAATGCGATAGAAGTTAAGGCAGTTAATGGTACTAGTGTTAAGTTTAGGGTTGTGTTGATTTGATATAAAATTGAAATAGGGGCTAGTTTTTGTCATGTAAGGAGTAGTATTCCAGATATTAGTGATACTCCTTGTGTAACTTCTGGAACTCAGAAGTGGAAAGGTGAGAGGCCTAATTTTATTATAAGGGCAATTAAGATTATCATTGAGGATATCTCATTAAATTTTTTTAGAATAGTTCATTGTCCGGAGGATATGGGTAGGGGGAAGGTGTGTGGTTGGAAAACTTTTTTGGTTTTTCTTGTTTTTTTGTTTTCCTGAATAAAAAAGATTCTACTAACAAAGAAAAAATTTAAGTTGGCTAGGAAAATTTCATAATAATCGTAAAATTTTTAAATAATTGAATATTAAAGTGACATTGCAATCTACAAAACATGTCTCTCTTATGACAAATCTACATTCAAATGTTTTGAAAATCTGAATGAACTCTTAAAGATAACATCTGCAGTTTCTTGTATAGATCTGAGTCATACATGTTTTAAAGATGTTGATCCATTAGGTTGAATAGCTAAACATTCAGCTTCACCAAGTAAATATATGAGTATGCTTGTTCTTTTATACTTCGTGACATAAAGCCATACAAAGCACATACTGAAAAAATCTCATGAGCAAACCATTTTCTTAAAGTTCTAATAAAATATCAATAGCTTCTCTTTTGGAGCAAAGACAATGCATTCATTTCAGTATAAAACATCCAAGGACTTCCCTTTTCAATAGCAATGTATCTATTAATGTAGACTAAAGCCTCTCTTAATGAACAAGAACACATAAAAATTTTTATGAGACCAGGTATATGTTGATTTTTATTTTCTTTTCTCAGAGGAATAGTGCAGTTAAAATGGAATGTAGATATATTTTCAGTATGAGTAAAGCTTTACATCTCCTCACTACCACCACCACTCCTGGTTTACTTTTACCACAAATAGGTAAAGCAAGTCCTTGCCAGTCTTTTAGTGACATCTCCTGGAGAGAGCAAACACGATCATCCACAATAATTGATACTGAACTGTGAATACAGCATGCTGCTCCACTCTACATTTTTGTAATTGTACTGTTGTTTGCAAAGGACTAAGATTGCTGTGTGTGTGTGTGTGTGTGTGTGTGTGAGTGTGTGTGTGTGTGTGTGTGTATGTGTGTGTGTTGGTATTGTGCCAGCATAAATTAAAAATTAAAAAAAGAAAAAACTCTCCTCCCTCTTAACATTGAGAAATGGCATGTTTACTGAATGGATGTGATATCTTAGACAGATAACAGTGTCACAAATGTAAATTATATATCCAATCTCCAAACTACTTCTTTGAATTTTTAGATCCCTTTAAAATTGGAAGGAAAATAAAAGAAGAAATAAAGAAAAACACATGGAGACCTGACAACTCACAGTAAAACTGTGGGTTATTTCAATTACTGTAATTCTAAGTCCTATGTTTCACATTTTTTCTTCATTCTAAGTGTTGCAAAGGATGAACTGATGCTATTAATAATTTATAACAATGAAAGCAAAGTATGAAAGAATATAAATATGGTTAAAACCAATATTCAGCCACAAAATATTTACCAAAGCAAGCTTAAGTTTTAAAATGTGAATATGTTCACTTTCATTCACCATACCAAATAATATGTATTTCTAATTTAATACATGTGAATATTTTCTATGAGAATTCCTTTATCCTAGAAGTTCTGAGGTTAATACAGTTATTAATCCTAATTCATAATAAGGATTTAAAATCATCTCTAGAATTGACCACTTGGCATCTTTTTCTCTGTAAAGAAAGGTACACTATGTATCTCTCAATTTGTTTTAATTTAATTGGTTTATATCCTAGCTATAATCTGCTGAGTCTAACTTCTCTCATGACCCCTTTATAGTCCTAGCATTAGTCAGTGACTGGCACATAGAAAGAAATCAATGAGTTTTCATTAAATCGAATTAAATGCGTTGACTTTGGAATGTCAAATTGACCTTTGAAAAACTGCAAACTTCAGTAAAAAATCATTACATCCAACATGCATTCATTATTCATATTACATTGATACTATTGCCACAAACAATTTTAAATAGATTATAACAATATATGTTATCTGTTCAATAAATTAGCTCCGATAATACAGAGATATTACACAAGTCCAAGTGGAACATCTCAGACCACAGATTCTCAGGCAATTCTGCACATGCTGCTGCTACTCAGCCATGAAGGGAGGCACAGTGTTCTTCTGAGAATGGCATACCCTTTATGGGTGCTACGGTTGCTGTGCCCACTGCCACTGCTATCCCTGGCTCAGGAAGGGAGCAGCTTGGCCAAGTAATAAATATTATGAGTGCCCAACATGGGCTCCACAGCTGCAATGTGCCTAAGCAGCGAAAAATTGGCAAATTTCTCATCTTTCAAGCCCAGCTGTTTCCTCCCAGTGGGGATTGCCTACTTCAGGCACACAGAAAGCACAGTGACCCAAAATCCACCTGAATGCCGTGGCTGAGACCCAACAGTTCTCTAGGAGATCAGCCATCAGGGTTCTCTGACAGGCCCTCAGCAGTGGTCATCTACTGCTGCTGTTCCCTGTCCCTACCGTCCTTCGGTCAGGGAGGGAGGAGGGAGTAGAACCACCAGGCCCTTGTATGTTCCAACAAAGACTTGGCAGCTGAAATAAATAGGAACAACGAGCTGTTAGTACATCACTCCTCTTCTTCCATTGCAACTGTTTTCCATGACAGGGATCGCCCACGTAAAACATGGGACCCCACAACCATCTGAACATTGCCACTAAGATCCAAAGGTTCTCAGATAAATCAGTCACCAGAATTTTCTGGCAGGTACTTTGCAGCTGTTGTCTGCCACTGCTGCCACCACTCTGTTGCCTCCCATTCCTGCTGTCCCTGAGCAATTTCACTAAGCTCTTGCATTTGCAGGTGGCCTTCACCCTATTCCATGTCAGCTGCATCCCCCAAGATGAGGATTGCCTTCTTCAGTCCCCAAGAGACATGTAGTGGTCTTACATCAACCTGAACACTAAGGCCAAGGCCTGGCAATCCTCTGAGAACCCAACTGCATCCATAGCCACTGCTACATGCCCTCACATTTAAGTGTGATCTATGACTCTGCACCCTGAACTATACAATCTATAAAAACACACTAATACAACAAATATCATCTAAGCCAGTTACTTCATGATTTTAGTTATGAACAAGGACCTTATCCAGAACCCTGGCCCTCTAAAAGTACCCAGAAACAAAGCCAATCAACCACACACAACATATGCATAAAGAAAAGAATAAGAGAAAAATTAAAAATTTCCATCACAACAATAGCAAACTCAAAAAGAAAAAGACAGAGGAGCATTGGCTCCC